TTTTTACTTAATAAGCAAATGCGGTTAGGTTAATAAAATTTTTATTTTTTTTCATGTTTCTTTATTCAATTATTTCCAATGATCTGCAAGTGTCCTTATATTTATGACCAGGAAGTGTATAATAATACCACCCGCTAGTTGTGACATCATGGTAAAAATGGATGATTTTATTGTTCCAAACTGGTTTTTATTATTATTTATACATGGATTCTTCGTCAGTAATCAAATCTTTATTCAATTTTTATTCTTTTGCCTTTTGACTCTATTTTTTCCAATTTTTTCTTTTCGCATTCAATCCTCCATAAGTCACTTTGTTTCAATGAAGAAACTGGTTTAAAAGAAATAACAGCCTTATGTGCATTTCTCCGAGTAGCTTTTAAATTTACAATACATATACAATATATATTTGCACCGCTAGTTGTGACATCATTGTAAAAATGGATGATTTTATTGTTCCAAACTGATTTTTATTATTATTTATACATGGATTCTTCGTTGGTAATCAAATCTTTATTCAATTTTTATTCTTTTGCCTTTTGACTCTATTTTTTCCAATTTTTTCTTTTCGCATTCAATCCTCCATAAGTCACTTTGTTTCAATGAAGAAACTGGTTTAAAAGAAATAACAGCCTTATGTGCATTTCTCCGAGTAGCTTTTAAATTTACAATACATATACAATATATATTTGCATGGATGTAAAAATTTTTTAGAAATTAAAATAAACTTGTAGTTTATAAAAAAAAAAATTACCTGCATGCATCACAACTGCCCGACAATTTGTAGTTATGCAATCTTTGGATAAAGCTTGATTCATGCCCATTATTGTACCTCTGTTTTAAAAGGAAATCAAATTTTTAATACATTCATATGAAAAAAAATTACATATTAAATAAAATATTAAATTTCTTACAAATTAATAATGTCATATGGCCCACGTAATTCTATTGCTCTTTGTGCTTCGCTTGAGATAATGATATTTTTACCACAAGTAACTCTAACCAAATTCTGAGCATTTGAAATAAGATGTTGTCTAGATATAGAATCTATTTGAGATATCATAATAATTAAAATAAAATAAAATAAAATGTTGATATCAAAAGTTTTTTAATTTAGGCATAAATCAGTAAACAAACCTCTGATGGTTGGAGAATAACAAATCTCAAAGAATATACCACAATCAATTGCCAAACCTACCATACCATGCTTCAAATAAAATGGCAAGCGAGATCCCATCTCAAGTGATATGATATCTACATCAAAATTACTACAAGTATTTTGAAATGACTTTTCATTGATTGGTTGGACAGCAAAAATATCATATGATAGAATTGTATTGTTTGATGATGTCTGTTAATTTAAAAAAATAAGATAAAATTAATGATAATAGGTAATGTAATATATATATATAATACGTCAAATATTATCATCATATTTAAATACTAATTACCAATCCATAATTTTGACTTGAATCTTCAAGTACTACAGTGAGTCTGGTTAATTGTTCTAGTTTAACATCTCTTCCAGAATTTTCATAAATATCAAATTTTTTGATGGGATTTGTCTCTAAACAAATACAAATATTTTCTTAGCCAATAGAATTGTATTGTTTGATGATGTCTGTTAATTTAAAAAAATAAGATAAAATTAATGATAATAGGTAATGTAATATATATATATAATACGTCAAATATTATCATCATATTTAAATACTAATTACCAATCCATAATTTTGACTTGAATCTTCAAGTACTACAGTGAGTCTGGTTAATTGTTCTAGTTTAACATCTCTTCCAGAATTTTCATAAATATCAAATTTTTTGATGGGATTTGTCTCTAAACAAATACAAATATTTTCTTAGCCATGTAACTTATATCAGATTTTATTATAAATAAAAAAACTGAAATACTTTGTTAGGGTTGACTTTTCCGATAATTGTATGATTATGTGCAATTACTTGATAGCCAACTAGATTAAAGTAAATAAAGTTAAATATTTTAATATATTTTTAATACTAAAAAATTACAAGGTTACATTTTGTAAGCAAAGCAACTTTTTTATAAAGTTCATTTTGTTGATTTGTAATATCTAGTTGTGTGGAATAAGGAATATTTAAGTCATAAAACATCTTGTTTGTTTTTGATTTTACAAATTTATAGAGCCTCAGCTTGGGAAAATATACAGGAGAGATATCCCCCCTTATCGATCTTGTCGATCTTTGGGTATCAGTAGGATAATTCACTCTAATTAATGTCATAATGTAAATACAGGACCCCGGAGACTACATAGATAGGTTATCCCAAAATTTACCCAAAATCTAATTGGCTAATCGAGAAAATCTGCACTAATATGGTCAAATTACGGCCATTTTTGGTAATGATATTCGCGCGCTCACTATTAAGTTTACCCAAATTTAGGGTAACCTATCTATGTAGTTTCCGGGGTCCTGTAAATACATATCAGTCAGGCGACATTTCACATGATCGACATGTCTACTGTAATAACTATGTAGAAATTTTGTGCAACATGTCAATTTTTACTATTAAAATCTAAGGAACTTTTTCATTTGTCACCTAGCACACCCACATGAAGTTTTAACCAGAAACGTGATATTTTGTACATGCATTCTTTGAGACTTATTTTATTTCCTTGCAAAATTTTAGCTATGGTTTACTAAAAAAACAGAAAAGAATTACTCGTTGAAAGTTACGCCTTCAATTCTTAATCATGTTACAACAAATTATTTTGAACTTGTAATTTCAATAATGATTTATGGAATATATATTAATATATATATAATCTTTTAATCTAAAACATGTGCGGTTAATCCAATTTTAGGCATCCCTGCATATAGTCGCACAAGACATCAACTGACCATATTTACACGATGTAGATGTTCTATGAACTTGGCCAAATTAGTTTAATGACATTAAATCTAGATGTTGCAAATAATAATAACTATTTTCAGTTTACATGGGAATCTGGTACAAAAAAAAATCCATTAAAATATGAGTCAGAGACTCTATGCTCCGCATATTGATCGTCAACTATCAATGTAAAATAGTTGTGACGTATTATTCGATTCTGACGAAATTTGTTAAGATATTTATCTGGTTTATCTACCCATTTTAACATTTCATACCAAGGTCTGGAATTAATTATTCTGTAACCTCGTTCTCTTAGCAAATCTACAACATGCTTATGCAATCTATCGTGTAATTGGTATTTCTTATCACCTATCCAATCATACGGAATATAATATTCTTTATATTCTTTATATTCTCTACCACGAAAGATGTTGTACATACTAGGTAATGTCTATACATTGCAAGTTTCTCAGCAATCCAGAGATTGAATTGATCCCGAGTTTGAGGATTTTTCACTTTACGGGGAGTTAGACCTAAAAATTTCTTATCATTGGGGGTGTTATCGTTTCTTAAAGCATTCCAGATTTGAGATGCTAATGATTCGGGTCTTTTCTTATAATTTCTCCAAGCAGTTTGTGTAATTTAAAGATTTACTAATATTAGAAAACAAAAGTACTTTTATTCATAATGACTCGCAAAACCAAATACACTATAAAAGATGCACACGAAATTGCAAAGAAATGAAATGGGTTGTGCCTATCAGATCAATATATCAACTGCATGTTACCATTGCAATGGTGTTGTAATAAAGGACACACATATGGCATGCAAATTTTAATCATATAAAAAATTCTAATTCATGGTGTCCATATTGCGTGCGGAATAAACTTCTTACGCTTAGAAATTGCAATAGAACGAAAGGGCCTATGTCTCTCGAATAAATATATCAATTCACATGCTCCCCTAGAATGGAGTTGTGCTAAAAACCATAAATGGAAAGCTCAACTTAGTAATGTAAAAAATGGAAATTGGTGTCCATCGTGTTCACGTGTAGGCCGTCGTACTCTTGAAGACGCAAAACAAGTAGCGCATAATAGGAATGGTGAGTGTCTATCAAAAACATTTGTTAATATTCGTTTACTTTTATTATGGCGTTGTATTAAGGGACACACGTGGTATGCAAATTTAAGTCATGTAAAAAATACTAATACCTGGTGTCCACATTGTGCAGGTAATATTCGGTCTACTATTGAAGAAGCTAAACAAATTGCTTATAGTAAAAATGGTAACTGTCTTTCGGAAAAGTATGTCAATTGCCAGGCTCCGTTACAATGGCGTTGTGCTAAAGGGCATGAATGGAACGCAAATTTGAATCATATAAAACATAATAGGTGGTGTCCATTTTGTCGAAATAAATATGAAGACCTGTGTCGAAAAATAATTACCGAGTATTTAAAACCTCCATCAAAAATTTGGGAATATCCATATGGGTTAGAACTTGACATTTATTATCCAGAATATGGTCTTGCAATCGAAGTCCAAGGAGAACAGCATGAGCGTTATCTAAAATTCTTTCATCGAGATCAGAATGGATTTAAAAAACAGTTATATCGGGATCAATTAAAAAAAGAATTGTGTGAAGAGAATTGGATTGTACTAAGGTATATTTGGTATTACGAAGACCTATATGTAGTTATTCCAGAGCATCCTCAAGAATTGGGTCTCACTGAATAGAGTTAAAACTTCAAATTCAGATACATTGTAGATCACCAAAAAGAGCCTTATGAAGTTATATTAGAAGTTGCATTGTTTTATTTTTTTATTATATATCGAAAATACCCGATTAGTATAAAAGCAAATTATTTAAAATTTTTTTTAAATGATTATATGATGATATCTCTGTCTTTTCTCTTTATACACTTGTTTTTGATATGTTTGACATTTTGTTACTGGCATTGTGAAACAACAATGTAACGAGCTTTCCTTCATTATCTATTTCCAGCTCGACATCTTCAACTTCAGTTTTTTTGAACGTGGTCATGGGAGCAGAATCTGTAAAATTAATCTTAAATACATCACGTTTCTCATCATAAGTAGGATTGAGTGTAAAGGATGGCTCCTCGCTTGCTATCCCTCGGATATGCTTTGATGGTGATGCTATACGAATTGATGCTATTTTGCCAATATTATTAAAACAGACAAGGAGGTAACCAGTTGCTTCATCACAAATGTCATCGGATTCTTGAGTAAAGTATACCAAAAATGCATCTGAATCGTCATAGTATACGGAATCCACAATGAACCTTAAATATATACTATGTTAAATAAAAATAGCAAGCTTCAGATTTAATATAAAATTTGAATGACAGATATTGCAAACCTGTCTTTACAATCAGGATCATGCTCATTATTTTTGGTCGAAAATTCTTTTTTATTCTGATAAATATTCATAATCAGATGTAAATAAGTAAATAAGAAAATAAATAGAAGCCTCTAAACTTATTTTAATTTCATACTTTCTTGTTCGGTTTAATTTTGTTGAAAATTTTTCTATAGGTAAATTTGGTTAATATATATATATGTGTGTGTGTGTGTGTATGTACAAATAAAAAAAGTTCAAAATAGTTGCTAGCTTACTTAATTAGATTAATACACATTTTATCCCAGTATCGACGGGCGGATGAAATATAAAAAGTGATTATTGTCCAGTAATTATCTTCTTCGCCTATAACTACTCGAAAAACTTGATTATTATCAGGTATTTTCTGTTGAATAATGAAACAACCGGGTTCTACACCCCTACAACGTTGGGTTGAGATATCACCGTTTCTATATGCAATTAATATTCCTTCGATATGACTTGGTTGAAATCTTCTCGTATACGTGTGAATTTTTGCTTCTTTTGTCCAGTTAAATTGTAAGAATGAATTTTCAAGAACTATTGACCACAACCTGTAACTAAGATTGAGATTACTCATTCAAGTAAGAGCTTGTAAGATCTTTCTCTTATTTAGTCTGTTATGTAATGATCATCAGTCATATGAAAGGATGAGGTAATAAGATAGTAATTATAATGCAAATAAAACAATCGGTGATAATAACTATATTTTTTATTACTTAATAAATCTTGAAGATTGATTCTAACTCGTACTGCCCATTGAATAAGTTTTTCATCCCGTTTTACGATAGACAAGTTGTCATATGATCTTTCGATTTTCTCAAATTCTTCAACATAATAAATAGGATGATAATTGTTGATGTATGACACAACATACTTCATATCATATCCAGGACGATTATTAAAGGGTTTGGGCAACGGTCTTTGTTTGTTACCGAGAATAATAGTGATATCTATATCTAAACCGGACATATTTAGCATAATAAGTTTAATGGTTTATATGTGATTTATTAACCTATACTCTAATAATAATACATTGTTATACTGATATTACTATTACTTTACACATTATGAAAATATATTGAAACGAGGGTTATACTGTATTTCTTTTACGAAAACAAAAACGTTTACGTTTAACAAAAACCAAAAATTAAACCTTTCTTTCCACCAAAGCAAATAACCAAAACCGAGTCACAAAACCTCAGAGTTCTCTACCACTCTGATAACCAAATGGACAATTAAACCCTACTCTTTAATTTCCGACTACAAAAATGTTTTGCAGAAATGAATTAATTAACAAAACTTTTGAATAGTCTCAAAAGCCTCGCCCTAAACCTTTAAGTAATGATTGGTCGTCTATATTATTACAAGCTAGTAAAGAAAAAACAGTAGCTGATTTTGCCTTCTCATCGTTGAAAATAGATTTCTTTAAAGAATCAACCAAAGACTTTTTAAAGTGTAAAACCACCGAAAAAAAAAAACAAAGATTCTTGTTTTACTAAAAAAATAAAGTCTATAGATATTTCATCCTATCCTTTTTAAAATAACGAGTCACAAATTTATTTCTTACGTTAATTAAAGTCACATGACATGGAATTAACTTTGATTTACATCAGCACTTTTCAAAAAATTTTTAGTAAATTGAGGCAAGACAAAAGCAGCTTTATGAATTTCTGAATTATAATACTTAAATAACTTGGCTTCTTCTTCTTCTGACCAAGTTCTAATTGGTTTTCTAAAATCAACGTTATCATCTCTTCCACATAAGATGAAACCAATTTGACCAGAAGGATATGTGGGAATCGTGGTGAATGCATAATCAACTACTTTAAATACTGATCTACAATATCCCTGAACTTCAGA